GATCCAGTCTTTAAAATGGTTCGAATACCGATTGGATAAATGGCCAACTGATCGTCTAGCCTGGAAACAGACAACCAGTCGTCCAGGGGCATAGGCGGCGTGACTAACTATCCGTACCTGTCTGCAACTATCGGCCATGTAAAACAGTCGGTATAGTGTACAATTGGATATCAGAATATTCAATACTTAAACAAATTTGAAGCAAAACAAAAATATTCATTAAAAGGAAGCCGGTCATTAAAGACCGGCAAAATATTCAGAGCCCCGCCCCCCTGGCCGGGTAAATACAAACAAACGGCACACAAGCCGTGGAAAGAAGACATAAAGATTATGAAGGGGGCAGATCTTCAATATTAGCAGTTGCCGCCTGGTCAACACTCTTTTTGCTGGACTCGGCTTCAGCTGCATCCTTCTTCGATGCATTACCCCCAAGCGACACAAGCGCCACTACCGGCTGCTCCTCCTCCTCCAACGCCTCTTCCTCAGCAGCCGCCAGGATCTCTTGATTATATCTATCAGAACACTGGCGGTACGTTTTTTCCCAGGAGGCAAAGTCGGCATTGGGGAAGAGGCGGCCCCAAGTCATGCGCTGGATTTGAGCAGAGTCTTCCATCATCTCCCGGACCAGCTCTTTCTTTTCTTGCTCGGCCTTTTCCGAGAGCTCCTGAGTAAGACTCTTCTCCTGGGTCACCAGGCGTTCCTTTACGCTCGCCAAGGATTTCTCCAAGGTTTCGTATGAGGACATCTTTTGGCGAAGAGGTCTCAGCTCGGCCTTGAGGTTGTTGATGGTCGCCTCCAGCTTGCTATTCCTCTTCTGGGCCGCCTCTAACTAAGCCCAGATAGCGGCGGTAGCCTACGCCTGATAATAAAGAATATCAATTGTCAGAACTTCATTTTGGGAAATTTGAAACATCGCCTTATCACAGTCAGAGGCGGCCATAGCTTTGGCAGCCTTTACCTCTTTGTTCTTCCGGTCAAGCGGCTTGCAAAGGCCGTTCACTCGGAGCAGGGCCTAAGTAAAAAGGGAACAGGCGTCAGTTTCCAAACAAAAAAGAAAACAGGTGTCCTGGAATTCAAATACTCAAAAATATGCTAAGTATACCTCAGCAAGGACCCCTACAATCCCGTCTAGGTCAAGGGTGCCGACACCCCTGACCGCCTCCCTTTCAGCTGGAGGAACGACCTTGATCATAGACTTGGCCACCTCGACCAAGTCAGGCTCTTGAGGGCCGGCTGCATCAAGCATAAACAAACGGATTAGACCTAGTAAAGAAGGGAGCAAGTCTAAAATTTACAAGGACGATTTCATACTTCTAGGTGGTCCAGTTGGAGTTTTAGATGGAGTGGCCGGCTGTTTCTCAGCCGCCGCATATTTCCTGGCAGAACCAGGAGAGCTCGCAACAGTCGTCCTCCGGGCCTTGGGGTCCGGCTGTTGGGAAGAAGAAGCTCTTGGAGCGCCCGTCTAAAAAAGAAGAAAAGAGTCAGTATATGCATAAACACAACTCCAAAAAGAGTGAAAGGTTCGAAGCCCACCAAGGGTGCCCCCTTGTTGGGGGAGTCGGTTGAAGACTGTTGCATAATGGAGGCCCGCAACATGGCCGCCGCAGTCTTGGAGGCGGTAATTTTGCTCATGGCGTCCGCTGCAAAAACAAATAGCAAAGTTAATAAAAGTCATAACAAGAAATGCACGGAACAACAGAGTATTCGACAGGCCGGCTACCTCTTGAGCACCGACTGCTGAGGCCACAGGCGGCCAAAAAGTACTCGTCGTAGAGCCATTTGAAGCTCGGGACGCAGTGCAGGGGTACTTGCTCTCGTACCCCTGAAGTAGAGTTCACCTTCGACTCTACTTTGAAGAGTCCTTTATCTAGGATCTCTTTCTTAGCCTTGGGGGGAACAGGCGGCATGCTGCGGCCGCCTGCAAGAAGGGGCGGATTCTTGTTCCACCTGTTGAAGCGCTTGTTCAGCTCTGTATCTGAACTCTCAATGATAAGGAAGGTGCTCCGCCAGTCCTTCCATTTGTTTGCTTTACCTCTTGTCATGAGGTAGCCCCTGTGGCTCGTCAATTGATACCAGCCGGTACCACCTGCCTTAGGGGTCCGGCTGAGGTAGTTCATGTGGGCGAAAGCCTCGAAGTTCGGCTCCACCCCGTGCAGTTCGCACCCGGCCACATAGCCGAGTACGTTGACCCAGGAGTTTGGGGCTAACTGCCATAACCCCAACTCATACCCATCCAAGATCCGCTGAACAGCCGGATGTAGTGGGAAGCGCAGCCCAGCCTTGATGGCCGCCTCGTAGCAGCCAAAGCAGGCGCCATCATAACTGGTACCAGCCGGCCAGACGACTGTGTCTTCTGGATCCGGCACGAACACTAAAAAGCCGGGGCCCATTGTGTGGTTTGCGATAAAGCTCCCCACTTTCTCTTGCATGGCCGTGATCCGGCCCCGAGGTACCGTGCAGTAGTAGGGGGTATTTTGCTCTCGGTGAGAGGCGGATGGCTCCGCCCAATCGTCCCCCTTCTCAACTACGTGAGAAAGCCTCGCCTCTTGTAGACGACTGTTTTTCTCTTCTGTGTCCAGAGAAGCATGGCCAGAAGAGCTAGACTCGGATTCGTCCTCTAACGAGTCCGAAGAGGACGACTCCTCCCCTCTCCCGGAGGGGCCCGCCTCCTCTCCTTTAAAAGGAGCAGGAGAGAATGTAGAATTGTCAACTGTAAAATGGGAAGGGGTCACTTTGACTCCTCCCTCATAACTGCCGGCTTTCAAGCCGATTTGTTTCACTTCCACATCTGGCGCCTGGTCAGATGTTTCACTAATCGGCACCCTGTGGGAGAAGCCGTCTGAGTTTGAGATCCTGGCAGTCTTTTTTGTTCTGGCCATCATGTTATACATAGACACAGATACAGTCGGACTTTGTATAAAGGGCAAAGATGGGTCCAGAAAAGGGCAGGCGGCACTCCTAGTCCTAGATTCAGCCGTCCCCGGTGACCGGCTGATCACTAACCTAGGTCGTGTCGTGTGCTTCCGTGGTGCCATTTCAAAAAAGAATAAAGTAAAGAGAAAATTAAGAGTAAGAGAACCGACGGTTACCTGAACGAGTGACGATTGATGAAGTTCTGAAAATCCTTTGCAGTCGGCTTGTCAGAGCGGGCGGTAGGCGGAAAAGGTCCAAAATGTCAGAGCAAGTTCAGGGGTCCGAATGTTCTCTCACAAAGTTCTCAAGTGTGAAAATGACCGAAGTCAACACTCCTTTATATAGGCGAAGTGAGAAGGCGAAGGGTCACTTCCAGAATTCAAGATTTTGGCGGGAGAATCTCTCGGCCTTTCGCCGAGTGACACCTGTAGCAGGCCGTCGCCTGTTACAGGGCGACACCTGTCACAGGTAACACGTGACCAGTCACGTGCCACCTGTGAGGGGCAAATGATTAGGGGATTTTGCTCCCACCAATCGGAATGCGCCACGTGGGCCAATCAGGTCCTGCCAAGTGTCCCCCAGTTGGACCTCTCAGGGCTTGCCACGTGGCACACGCTTATTCGTCCACCCTGGACCTATTATGTCATGACACGTGGCATACTTCATGCCTAATGGAGAAGTCGGCCACCTAGGCCCAACTTCCGAGGGAAGCCCAATCAGCCCAAGGTTAACCTAAACCTAGATTGGCACGTTTCCCGAGGTTATAAATACCTCCCTTAATCTTCATTAAGGGGGATGACGCAGATTACGCACATTAAATACTCTCACCTAGAGAGACCCAATCACTTTAATTTCCGCATTAATTACTCCTTAATCAAGTACTAACTTGACCGTCGGAGGCGGATCTCCAATCATCCGGAGCATCCGTTTGTTTTGCAGGTACAGACGTCCGGTTCCAGTCTCAGAATTGTAACTCTCCCGCAGGACATCAGAAAACCCCGAAACAATATCCATTAAAAATCATGATAACTGAAAACTGTCAAGTAAAATTGTAAAAAAGAACAAAGGAAGTAGTTCTTTGAAAAAAAGAACAAAAGAAGTATGAAGAATAATACCGATTGAGTTTTAGGCGTAATATTTCTAATATATAAGAAAACATTCTTACTAATCTTATATGCATTGGAGTGTACATATTGGTATGTGTATTTTTTGCCCAACTTTGTTATTGTTATTTTGTATTACTTTTTTTTTACTCTTTGAAAGTAGTGTGATTGATATTTTTGCTTATTTGGAGATTGCTTATTTTTGCACTCACGGGTTCATGCACTATATATCTAGTAGATGTTGCATAGGATTTTGCAGCAACTTTTGGTTTGAATATAGCTCTCTACTATGCAATAGATCGACCTGAAAAGTGATAATAGGATTGTAATTAATAAATTGAGATCAAGGATAGATGGTTGATGGGTTTTACTTGGGTGTCACACTTAGAAATATTATATTTTTAGGTGATTGTTGTGATTTTTTCAGCTTTAGGCATGCTTATAGAGAAGCCAATGTGTTTTGCTCATATCATGAGCATTTGCAACTAATAGATTATACCACGAAAGTATGGGTTGGAAGTGGACAAATGTTATTACGAATGCAATTGCAACAAACTTATGCCCTGCTTCTAATGAAAATAAATGCCTCTTTTGCCACCCACTTGCTACGTGTCATGTCGAAATTATTAAGAGTGACCCAAGCATGACTCAAACTCATGCGTCAGGTGTCACTTGTCATACATAAGCCAAGTTTAGCATGTAGTAGCGACTCGTTTCATATCATGCTTCTCCGTCCTAACCCAATCTACTATTCGACATATACAGTCTTATGTTATGTCAATGGTGTTGTACCACGAACCCCATATGGTGCTTCTTCAAGAAAATTGAGACCCCGACTAATCTACTACCCAACATACACAGTTGTGCTACAAACTAATACAGTGCCATCTTTAGATATATCTACCTCTAGAGTCTAGAGCACCCGCGTAACCGAGTGGCGCATATAAGAATTTTCAGCAAAGAAGAGGAGTAGAGGGAAGAAAGAGTCATTAAATTATTTTGGTTTTTCATAAACATGGGAGTCGTCAATCAATCAAACACGCCAAAAACACATTATTAAATCGTACTCCTATTAACATTTAACAATACTATAATATGGACCCCAATTTCCATGCTTCTCTCCCTCCAATTCCATGTATGACTACCCACTAATTCCCTATTCTACTCCTACTCCTAACTCTGTCATCTCTCTGTCACTCCTCTTTCTCTCTCCTTCTTCTTCATCTGCTTCGCACGTCTTTCTTCTTTCTCTCTCTTATATTCTTCATAATTTTGTTATAATATGGGATCATGTGTATCATCTTTCCACAAAAATTCTGGGTCTTCTAAAGTTGATCAAATTTCTGTTGTTCCTGATTCTTCGATGCCACCCACTCCAATCAAAGATAAACCCACCAATGTTGACCCTCAATTTGTCTCCTTTAATCGTAAATCCCGTATTTCTCCCTTTAATTCTATTTCAAGTCTTCGCAGTATTGGTGGTAATTCATCTCTTACTTTCTTATTTTGCCTTATCAATTGTTTTTTTTTATGTTCTATGAATCATGTTCGATGATTATAGAAGGTAAACGAACAAATTAACTGACTGTACCCATTAAACCTCGGGAAAAGAGAAGGTTTAGTTACTGGGGTTATAAGTAAATTTAATAACTTTGTCCGTTTACCTTTTCTAATCACTTTAAAGGGTACTAGCGAGTTAAAAAAAAAGAGTACTTGTATAATTTATGGGTTTTATTTTATGTTTTTTAGTTTGTGGTAGCTGTTGATGATCTGGGAGTTGAGATTGATCGTTTATTCGTTTTGATATGAGGACGAACACTTGATTGAATTATGTCCGCTATTATTTTTAATTATTGCTTTCTTTTTGTTTCTTAATGATAGTACTTTTTATTATTTAGTGCTATTAATAACTTTTAGTGACAATAGATTTTTTCTGCTTTTTGGCTTCTTAGTATTGGGCTAATTATACTTGATTGATCATGATAATTGTATTGATTATGTTAGAGTTCTGTCATATCAAGCCAGACTTGATCAAATGGTGGATTAGTAATTAGTTGGTGGTGGAGATTCACTTATCCTTCCTTCACCCCTCCATGGCTATGACTTGTGAAGGTCGGATTGGTAGTTGTGGAGGGGTTGAGTCATTTATCTTATACTTACCCAAGAAAAAATTACTATTAAAAATATACGAAGTATTAAATTTTTCTGTTACTATAGGCGTAACATATAAGTTGTTCGCTTGTTTGTACATGTTTGACGGGTAAGGTGATGTATGGTAGACTCATTGACTCTGTGTTCTAATATGGCCCTCCATATTTGTTTAGCATTGAAGTGTAGAAATGGGGAATTGTTACCTCCATTTCGGGTCGATCTATTACCCTATAAGAGGGGCGGGGAAGAACCTTATTTTTTTTCGAACATCTATTACCCAATTCGAGTCAATATATTACCCTATGTTACGGGTGAATAATCTAATTATAAATTCCTATTACCCTTTTAGTATGTTGCTACTTGCTAGTAGTCGATTTTTCTTGGAACTCTATGTTTTGGTGTGTGTGAATTGTTGTGTTTAAGATGTTGAGCTCCCTCTTCCCATGTGCTATGACCTTGGTTGTTTCATGAGCATATAGTTTTTAATGGCTTCGGTCTAAATTCAACCTGCTTTTAATATTGTGGCTTACACAGTCTTCTAACATGAAACCAATATAATAAAGTTGCGAAAATTGTGATTTGTGACGACTGTATTTCTTCTTTTCAAGGATCAATGGAATTTTTATCACGCTTGCTTTCCTAGGAAAATCAGCATTACTTACTATTCCGTACTTGCTACTCATATTTAGTAGGGCAGTACAGGCACATGTTTTGACATAGAAAGGAGAATGAATCAAGGTTACTACAACTAGTTTATTAATGTGTGGCAATTGTTTTCTTCATTATGCAACACAAACTATTTTCATAACTAATGTTATACATAGTACATTGACCTGTAGTTAATATTATCTGATAAGAGTGCTTAAAAATTCTCTGTTCTAGATGAGGATGAGAATTTTTTCCGTGCTAATGATTTTTCTCAGAATATAGAACTCACTATTTCCTTCCATTAACAGGCAGCAAAGATGAAACCTTTTATGACACTCAAGGTTGGCTAGACTCGGATTGTGATGATGATTTTCATAGTGTGAATGGAGGTAATGAGAAGAGTTACTATCATATTTTCTGCAGTTGTGTTCTCTGCCAATTTCCATGAGTTTCAGTTGTATGTTGTTTCTACAGATATATAGATCAGCTTCATGACCTTCTTTACAATAGTAGGGGGAAATACCAAATGTTAAGACGTCCCATATTCTATTATTTTGTGCTCATAGTCTCAACATCTGCCATCAAGATTGATTTCTTTCCCTCAAATTGAATTTTATATCCTTATGTGTCCTGCAATCCTATATCAAGTTAATCAGCTCACTAGAATGAATATAATCTCCCAACTCCATAAACCATCTGAATTCTATCTTCCACTCTAAAGCGTAGGAATGAAATGACATTTGTCCTGCTCTATAAGTATTTCTGACCAAGATGCATCGACTTTGGTTACCAAAGAGAACAAGGGTGTAGGGGACCTTTTGGAAGGCCTGGGGGCTAGGGTGGTTTAGTTGAGAAATAAATTTCCATGCTGCAAACTTTGCCCGGGAAATCCATTGAGCAGTATAAAACCTCGAGACCTTCTTTCTTTTATGAGAACAAAACCAAAAATAGTATTAAAAAACACATCTGAGTTAAAAATTGATAGTTATTGACCCAGAGCTAGATAAAAGAAACATGAGCTAAGACTTACATCTAGGAAAGAAAGAAGGATAATACATTAATATCTTAATGTTAGTTAAAAGTTAACAATATTATGGTTTGGTGCTTGAACATTGGTTGATAGCCATGACTGGTATGCAAAAAGTTATGGGGATAGATTAATAGAAACCCAGTTACACTTATGGTTCTTGAAGTGGTTGTCAATTTGCATATTTTTAGCGGTTTTGAGTTTAATTCTTGTACTTGTATGATAAATATGCAGATTTCACTCCTTCTCGGGGCAGTACTCCTGCCCATCATGATGGAACTCCTCGACTTAGCAGAGTATTCTCCCCACAAGTTAGTAGGGCTGTTTTTGAAGGCAAAAAACATATGCGTAGTGGTAAGTGTGACAATATCAGGATGTGTTTCTCATTCTTTGTCTGCTCATGTCATACTATTAAAACTACTCTCTTTTATTTTAGCATGCGAATACTATTTTTATTAGTGGCATTTTAATATCATTTTTGATGTTCATCATTTCACTTTTGAGATACTACTTAATATTGTTCTCTATTGAGTATGAGTTTCTACATGCGAGTAATAATCTGAAGGTTCGATTTTAAAAGACAGTATTTTTGAGGGTTATTTTCCCTGATGCAGCATCATACCAATCTCGAAGCAGTCCCTTAGCTCGCCGGAGCTTTTCATCTACCACTCAAGCAACTGGATCCTTTTCTGAAGAAGTGGTTGGTCCTAATTCAGTTACATCCTCAACAACTAACCCACCAACTAAGAGCAAGAAACTTCTTGATCTTTTTAAAGAAAGCATGAGAGAGCGTGGAGATGTAGGCCTAACTCCATTTCTAGATTTGCCACCAAAACCACCAACTAGAGCCCCATCTGGTTTGCGCTATGTATCTAGCAGTGATCCTGTTGATGATCATGTGCACGTAAAAGAAAAACAAGGGAGATTTTCACATGGCTGCTTTCCAAGATTGGCTTATGTCCGTAGCTTAAGTGGAAGAAAGAAGACATCTTATCCTCCTATGGATGACCTAAAAGCCTGAAAAGAGCCAGACTGCTGTGATTCTCAGGTCAGCTGTAATTCTCATTTTACCCGGTGTAGGAAGATTACACTGCTTGTGCAATCTTCAAGGATCGATCTTAGTACAATGTACAAAGTAAGTGATAAGGCAGCTTTCAATAATTGAGGTGCTAAGTCTGGTCATTTTCGAGCCTTGTATACTTCCATTTTTCTTGGCTTCTTGCCTTGCTATGTAAATAGGTACCGTGTAGAAAATGAGGTTACGTCGAAAGATGTTTACTAAAGTATTTGGAAACAATTAGTGGCTATTCTACCTTGCCTGCCATCATGTCATGTGTGTACTTAAATCGTTACGGGGCTAATTTATAACCTTGTATATGGTTTTAAACTTATCAATGCTTGTAAAAAGCCTAAGCTTCTTGCTAATAGGTCTTAAATTGTTCATCTCTCCGGCTGAAACTTGGCTTATAGAAGTAAGTTATTCGGAGTAACAAGCTATGCGAAGAACCCCGGCGTTGAACTATAAGATGTTGCATTCGTACGAACTTCTTAAATTATAAAGTAATTATAGTACATAGTACATTATACTACGTAAATGATGTAAATAGGGTAATATGTTCAATTGGTCATCTAAGAAAGAACAAAATATTAACATCTATGATTTCTAGGACACATACACAGCTACAAAAGTATATCCTCATACACCTCCTCAAATTGGAACATGTAAATTACGAATGTCCGATGGTGTAACAAAATTCTAAATTTTTTGTTGACAACCAAGAACTCAACATTGTCAGAATATCTCCCAATTGATAACTAGTAGGAACATATACTAACATTTACCGGGGAAATATTTTCTACTAACACGCAACTCATCACGAATAAAGCAACAATCAACTTTTATATGGTTCATACATTCATAAAAATAAGATTCTCACCATACAAACAGATACAAGTAATGATACCAATTGGTTGTTGGTGTAGTGGTGATTGAGACTACACTTAGTAGGGAGGATTAGTGTTCGATCCTACGCAACAACAATCGGAAGGGAACTGCAACCTAATCACCCGAAACTGATCCCCGAACTCGAATTAGCCTAAAGGGTAAACCGGGTAGAACACCAAAAAATACAAGTAATGATCAATGTTTTAACTTGAGTTTTTTTAACAAATTTAAAAGTCAAAACTATACAAATAAAAAGAATGGGATTCGTATATTTATACGCCGTTTTCACACCTTGGTGTTGAAGTTACACAACGAGCTAGCTACTATCCAACATAATTTTTAATAGTGTAATTGTATGAAAAAGTAATTTTGTTTTTATTAATTGTGACTTAGTATTGAATTCAAAAACGTGTATTATCTAATATGAGTGTGGTGCGCGTCACTTTTAATTTGACTTAGATTGATTCATTTGTAAACGTGTAAATGTGTAATAATGCATCCTCTCTAATTATTTTTAATCTTCTCTTTTATTTAATTTCGCCATTTGTCAAACTTTTAGATTAAGTGAGGTTGTTTAATCAACGACGTTAGATATTATAGGAGCAATATTAGATCCTATTAGAGTATTAGAGCTCCTTAGCTGGTGGCCGTATCTGTTGGCCAGCTTAACATATTCTAACATAGTCGCATACAAATTATTAATGTGTTCCAAATATCTTCTACACTTTGACTTTTATCATAATTTTGATTATCAATATCTTTAATTATGTATTACGAGTAATAAAAATTTCAAAAACTTTTACCGCTAATCTTTTAAAAAATTCTAAGGAAATATTAAATCTATATTATACAACTCGAGGTAAAGAGGTGGTGCCCATTACCAAAAAAAAAAAAAAAGAAAAAAAAACCTTGACATATACTCGATCTGTATAAATTAGAAAATAAGAATTTCAACTATGATAGATTATGGAGCAAATAATGGACATAATAAGCAAACAAATAAAAAAAAAAATTTGTTGTAATAATTTCCATTTCAAACAAAATTATACTCAAAGTAATCTAGTTAAATAATCTAAACTTCTTCTCCTCTCTCCTCTCTAAAACCCTAATCTACATTATTGACTTTTAGAGGGACTTCCATCGGTTTTTATTGGTGAAAAATCCCAACCTTTGTTTCTTGCGTGATTTTCTCTTTTACTTTTGTTTGTTTTTAGGTTTATAATATACATTCCTCTTCCAAGATGAACTTTCTCCTCCCTCGAAAGACAAAGTTTTTCACTTTCAAGGATTTTTTCTCCTTTCAAAGATACAAATTATAGTTTTCTTCTCTTTTGAGGGAAGTTTTGCTGATTTCTTGCATTGATAGATTGTTGTGGAATTGTTTCATTGGTAAATAATAATACGGGATCGCAAAATTTATCAATTTCTTGTCTGATTAATTAGATGTAAATCATCCTCACAGTTACAACAAATCATTATTTTGTCTCTCCTAAAAAGTTGTATATTTATGTGATGTAAGCGGGAGATGTTTCACAATGCAAAGTCTACTTAATGATCGTAGTTTATATGATGCCTTTATTTGATTCTATATGTTATGTATCTGCTAAATTCAAATATATACAAATTTTCATATGTGGCTAGCCACTCGGTGTGGTTGGGATTACTCGGTCAGGGGTTACTCGGTCGGTCAGAGGTTACTTAGTTAGGGATTACTTGGTCAAGAATTACTTGGCTAGAGATTACTCAGTTAGGGGTTATTCGGTCGGTCAAGGATTACCCGGTTACTGTCTTGGTGTGTGTCAGCTTGCTAGCTAGCCATACCAAAAAAGTGCAGATTTTGTAAATTTTCTATGACTTTTTATTAATAAACTACTTTTACTATTAAAAAAAAGGTTTAAATAATCTAAACAAAATAAATAAGCAAGAGGCTTTAAAAAAAAAAATAATAGTAAATAAGCAAGATGTTGAGCAACATTCATCTTAGGCCCATACAACTATACCAGTGAAGCCCAACCGCAGAAGCCCCAACTTAAAGTTGTTGTAACTGACTCCACAAGTCCACATTAATATTTCTCTCTTTTTATTTATTTATTTATTTATTTTTTATTTTATTATTATTATTATTATTATTATTATTATAACTTTTTTTTAGTATTTTTTTAAATAGAGTAAAAATAATTAAATTTAATAAATATGGAAGATCATGTAAAAACCTTATCCATCCTCTAACCAAAATCCTATACGAGTATGGGCCAACCTTAAACCAAAAACAAAAAGGATCCATTATAAATTGATATATAAATAAAAAATGGATTATCGGTTTAGAAGAAATAAAGCATGAACACATCATATGGCCCACCTTTGGACTCACAAAAAGGGATTTCGAATATTCAATTGATAAAAAGATTCTTTATTATTGCTTATGTCGACGGTCGACATTAGTGTACAAAGCCACCACGATGCATATTTTTACATATTATAACAACAATGCATATTATTTGGGTATTATTATATACTTCCTTCAATTAAATATTATTGTAATAATTGAACTTTTATATTATTTATCGGTCTTACTTGATCATATAATATGATTTATATGTTAAGTAAAATATAGTCATTTGAGATCATGTTAGATTCGTCTTATAAAATACATTCATAATATCAGCCTTTTTTTAAAAAAAATTTTTTTTACTCTTATACAATTATAGATATTTAAAATGTAAAATAAGCTTTGAGATGTTTAATTTTATCCTTGTTGCAATATTATTAAAACAAAGGAAGTATGAGATTATATACTTAAATTTGGACAATCGACATAGTATAACGTCACATCCAAACTATTCAAGCTCCATGGTTCTTGATAGGAAACGAACTGAGTCTAAAGTAAAAAGTGAATTATATGTAAATAAAGTAGTCAATGAAAAGTTTTGTACATTTTTTTTTTTTTTATTGAAAGTCTTTTTTATACGTGAAGTATTATCTGACACTCGTTTAACGTATACGTATATTATACTCGTATGATTAGTATATATTCTTAAAAGGTAACCAATTATAGAACGTATGGACCCGAAAGATCGATGTCCATCTTCGTGTTGTGGGATGAAGTGTGAGACGTAACATTGTAACATATAAAGTAGTAGGTGAAGCTTTGTTGTGTATTTGGACTTTGCACTGTTGAGCTAGGTAGTAGACTGGTAGTTGGTTCTCAAAATTTTGAGAACTAACAAGAACTCTTCCAAATAAGCTACTGTAATATTTACTACATGTATAAAGGATAAATTTGTAACCATCTTTTTTCTAGATTTCATATACATTAATAAAAACATCACAATTGGACATATCATACATTTACCATTATAAGAAAGGCATTTTTCACACAAGTTTTCACCTACAAGCCAAAGGTTCAAGCCTCGGCTCACCTCCACTGTTGTCTGAGTTTATCCGATCTCCTAGTGAATCTTTAGATCTCAATTCTTTAAAAAAAAAAAAACAAAAAAACAAAAAAACAAAAAAAAAACAATAGTATCATACTATTATAATGCTTTACATTTAAGAGCAACTTTAAAATAATAAACTTTGAGCTCAAAGTACTAGTCTCATTTACCTACAAGTTGCCTAGGCTCAAAGGTAACTGATAAACCATGCTTCATATAAAGAGTAGTAGTAACCTTAGGAGTTATAACTTGACCTTTAACAACCTTGACTTTATATCTTAGAAGAATTGAAGCAGCCACCATTTTCATCTGTGTATAAGCAAATTTCTTCCCAACACAAAGCCGCGGACCAGCATTGAACACAACATATCTGAACTGATTTTCACTTGCATATTCTCCGTCTTTGAACCATCTTTCCGGCTTAAATTCCGAGCTATCTTCACCCCAAATCGACTTCAGCCTCCCCATCGCGTACACATGATACAAGACTCTATGACCCTTTGGAATTTTCATACCATCCGGAAAAACATCATCTTCCTTAGCTTGTTTAAAGTCAATTGGTACCGAAGGGTAAAGTCTAAGAGACTCGGATAATGCAGCTTGTAAGTACACCATTTTGTCCAATTCCTCAGCTTGGAAAACAACATCATTTAGTCCATCTTTCGTCTCCCTTTGAGATAAAATCGCGGTAATTTCATGCAAGATTTTAGCCTCAACATTCGGGTGTTCATGTACTAGCCAAAAGAACCAGACTAATGCCACGGAACTTGTGTCACGCCCTGCTAGGATAAAACTTATACAAAAATCCTTAAGAAACTTATCAGTAAAATTCTGGGTAGAGTTTTTACTAAGCTGATTTTCTTGCATTTTGATTAGCCTAGATAAAAGATCACAAGGATCGCGGTCTAATTTACCGGGCTTATTTAAATCAGCCTTGCGATTTTTTACTGTGGTTTCAGCAAATTCGTGCACAATTTGTACGGCATTTTTGAGCTTCTTTTCTTTGCTCACGTTAAACAATCTCATTGTCTTCCAAATAAAGGCTGGTACCAAGAACCTGAACAGAGAATACTCTGTTGCATCCTCGAATGCTTTCGCAAAGGGAATGTCCGGTAAATCGAGGCCTAAACAACCAGGATCGACACCAAAAGCCGCCACACACACGTTGTCGAACGTAAAACGAAGTAACAATTCTTGAAGGTCAATAGTATGGTCTCTTGATGAGTTAACTTGCTTCTCTATTACCTTCAATTAAGAAAATAAATAATCAATGTTATATGTCAAGATTATTAGATCTAATTTGATGGTAAACAAGACTATGCTTCATTCAATACGTTTAAAATCAATTAGTGCTAGAAAATTGTCAAATTTTGTACAATAATATTTGAGTTTTCACCATAATTTAGTACCCAATTTTAAATTTATACTCCATAACACTATATCTAGACTAGTAGACTACTAGTGTTAACCTAATTGCACTTGAATAATGGTCCAGAATGAAAGGCAGCCGGACCCGGCCCATAGACCATATATGTAATTTTTATAATTTTTCTAACAAAATTAGTTAATAAGTTGGCCTAAGTCGGTTAATTAAGTTGACCTTGATTAGGAGTTCGATAATATACGATCCACTTGGCCACTTCCTAGGAAGAACGGTCTGAGCCAAGACTGATAGCTATATATAAATCAAGTAACCTCAAACTAACCCGACCTACTAGTCATCTCTAATATTCCCTTTAACAAGGCTCTTGCTATCAATAAGCCAGGTAAAGTGCAATTTCATACCCCACCATCCAAGTGACCCAACAACTACATTAATAATACGAACTTATGAAGTAATAACAATAAATTAAACTATAATAATAATAATAATAATAATAATAATAATAATAATAATAATAATAATAATAATAATAATAATAATAATCGTACAAAAAAGGTTAAGAAGTACCATGCCTTAAGTAATTTATCATGCACAAGACTTTGCATGGTCCTCAAAGAGTACTGCACGAACCGACTAGTATGCATCTCAGACGTAGCAATCCGGCGTTGCTCCTTCCACTTGTCATCATCAGAGTTAAAAATGCCATCGCCGAGTAGCTCTCGAAACCTTTCTCTATAGAACACACCCTTAGGAAAATTCTTAAACTTAGTTTTAAGTATATATTCAATCTTAATGGGATCAGCAATCATAATTCCTGGAAATCCACCTAAAAAACCTCTAACTCTATAACTTCCTTTGCTTTTTTCTAAGGCTTTTGTGTTCCATTCATGAATTTCTTGGTAATGAAGGGCAAAAGATGGGATCATGCCAACAATAGGCCATAAAGTGGGCCCTAATTTGTTTGTGATTTTTTCATGGATGCATGAAACTATGAAGAAGCCAAGTAATGCTAAAAATATATCAGAAATTTGTATTTGGCTTAATACATTTGTTACAAAGTTTATAATTTCCATGGTTTTTTTTTATTTTTTATTTATTTTTTTTAAATTTAGGTTTTAGTATTTGGGAAAAGAATTAGATATGAAGTGATGAAAAAAAAAGGGAGGGATTGAATGGATATTTGGATTGGGAAAGATGAGGAAGAATGGCAACTTTATAGTGTCATGGTTGAAATGACAAATTTGGAGTATTTGGGTTTATATAATGCATGACGAGTGTTGTGATGTGACTTTTGGACTTTCTAGGACTTTTTTGTCAAGGAGTTAATGTTGGGTGGTTGTTACTTGTTAGTGTTCTTAATTTAAAATTTACAAGTAATATCATGTACTCCCTCCGAAAATAGGTTACATTTGGTGGTTTTTCACGGTTAATAAGGAAAATAAAATGAAGTAGAAAACAAATATTAAATTAACTTTGAAAGTATGAATATAATATTGTATTGGAAATAGGTAAATGAGGATAGGTGCATGAAAAATATGTATGTATGAGGAAAATATGTAAAAAATAATTTAAGAAATAATTGAAATGTAAACATTAAAGGAGAACGCCAAAAAGAACAAACATAACTCTCTTTTAGAAACGAAGGGAGTATTGTTTTTCCCATTCGATCTACCATACTCATAAAGTCATAAATTATTTTTCTATTACTCCCTCTATCCCTTATTTTTTGCTCCATTTGACTTTTAACGGTTTTTAAGACGCGACTTCAAGCGTATATATCTCCATTTTTATACACGTAAAAATTGTAAAAACTTGATATTTATATAATATACAATGAGACGATTCTAACAAGATTTCACATGAATATATTATCACTTACTAATTAACGAGAATTCATGGTCAAGTTTTAAAATTTTGACTCATATTTTTACAATGGGGCAAAAATTAAGGGAAGGAGGGAGTACATTATATTCTCTTCAATCCCATTTGTTCTTTTTTTTATTAGGAAGATGTTGTAAGAAAATAAAAGCCAATGAAAAAAAGATATACAGATAAACAATTCGTGTATATATAGGCGGGAGTATTTTACTTCATACTCCCTCCGTCCCTAAATATAGTTCCCATTTGACTTATTTGTATTAAACTTTGAAAATTTTGACCATAAATTTCCGTTAATTTATAAGAGATTATATGTTCATGTGGGATCTTATTTGATTCGTTATATTGTATACTTTATTAATATCAAGTTTTTATAATTTTTACGCATGTGAAAATAGAGATATAGACGTTTTATAACAAGTTTTAGTGACCGTAAAAAGTCAAATGAGAACTATATTTAGAGACAGATGAAGTATAAATGTGTAATATAAATACCATATACTTGTATATAATTCTAGGCAACTATTCAAAAAAAAAAATATAATTCTAGGCAACGCCTTTACATTACCAACGCAAGTAACTCTGACTAAAGTTAATTAACTTCTCAATGGGTAATAATGGCTAAAATAGTTCTACATTATAGTACATACGGAGTACTAGATTGGATTAATTTTCATGTTCGTCATCTTTATGGATTGGAAGTCACGTAGCAAAATTAGCAGTCATACTTTAGTGTATTCAAATGTGATAATAGCTCTATTCACCTACTTTTATAAGCTTGTAATTTTTTACTTTTAAACCTGCAGGGTGGTACACCGTGCATGTTATTATTATATGCACTTCATGTACTCCGCATTCTATTTTGTTTTCAAAAAAAAAAAATAAAAAAATAAAAAAAAAAAATAAAATAAAATACATGTAGTGTGACATAGTAACATAATTTAATGGATAAATTTTTTCGGTGTCACAAACTTGCAAGTTCTCATCATAGAACGAAATAGCATATTTATCACTTTGATCATTGGATGAGATGAGTTGAGAGAGTGTCATGTGACTGATGAATTTTATCATGAATGATTAGGCTTTTAATTAATGAAAATTATGAACTTATTTTAATACTATCACATTGAATATGTTTTATTCAAACCTTAATCCATAGAAACAAAACTACAAAAGTCAAGATATATTAATGGATTACTAAATTTAGCTAGCCAAGTTAGGTAGTCCGTATAATTTCTTAAACCGCATTTTATTTTAGAGATAGATTTTGTAGCGGATTAATTAAACCAGCCGCATGCTAAGAGATTAATGCATGAATCTACCAACTACTATTAAAACCTTGCTAGTTCCCATAAGATTTTCAACTCCCAAATTTATTTCATCGGAAATATTTTGAAAGAATACAAAACAAATACGTCAATAACCATTGCGGCACTATTAGACTGATAGGGATAAACAACCATTTGATCTGATGACGCGGTCTATATATATACTACTGTACTGCTTTGGATAAAGGTCATGTTTGAATCCCTCATAGGTCAATCTAGTCCACGTTAACATGTTAGATCCTTTAAGAGTGGGAGAGGGTATATAAGAACATCCTCATCCTCAAAATGTCTTTAACGAAATTTAAATCCTCATTTTAACCTTGAAAGATTTTTTAAATAATAATGTCTGAATATATATGTTATTATATTATTATTACTTCTTATGTTAGGACACTGGACACCATATCAAATTAGAAATGTGACATATGTATTACTCCATAATAACGAGTCTAGATCATTAGGACAACTCACCATAATTAATTACTCCGTACTTATCAGTATTATCCTTTAATTTTAAAGTTGTTAGGCTCTAGCTATGTCAAATGTAGGACTCATGAAACTCTTCTATTTATAACAATAAATGCTTTAATTTATATGCTGATTTATACAAGTATACTTGTATAAGTTGTATTAGATTAATGTATTAAGTGAATAAGAACTCATCATCCATCTGACAAGCACAAGCCTAAATAACTCAATTCGTACAAGTTTGTTTGCTAATAGTACATTAATACTTTCAACAAGTCTATAAGAATTTATTATTATTATTGTTTGGGTCCAATTTAGTCCAATTGGGCCTAAGCACTAAATGATCCAATTAAAAGCCCAAGGTCAAGGTTCAACTCTCCAATTGTGCTAAAGTCAAAGGTCAGCCCACAAAGCAAGCCAATTGGGCTAAGGCCCAACCTCTCCATGTATGATGAGGTATAAAAGCCATCAATATTGATTCATTCACGATTATTCATTCAGGATGATTCATTCATAGATTCATATGTTCATACATATATTCTGAGATATTCCATAAAAGCCTCAAGCAACAAACTCTCTTGCATAGTGTCCTCTTCTTACACATTGTACTGACTTTAGCATCGGAGGGGCCTTCCTCGGCAACACCCCCGAGGCTAGTTTACATGTGTTTACTGTGCAGGAAACCTTCGGCCCAACATAACTTGGACCGAATCCAGCCTTCTCCATTTCAGCGGACCTTCGGCAAGGTCCCATTGTTTTCACCCGAAACAATTTGGCGCCGTCTGTGGGGAAGACTTTCAAAAATCTTTAAGCCAAATTCCTAACCAAGATCATCTTGCAATTATCTTAGCAGCAATGGCTAAGAACCGCAAGAGCAAAAGCCTCCGTCAAGGAGCGGGCGAAAAGCCTAAAACCCCTACACCATCACCCTCGCCGGACCGGAACTCTCCCAAGGGTGCCGGCTCGGGGGGAGGATCATACAAGGAGGATTCCCTATCTCCCGTAATTCATGACTCTCATTATAGGCCGGGTCACTCTCGGTCTAGCAGGGGTGAGTCCGATCATAGGACACATTCAGTGTCCCAAAGCCAACCATCGGCTGCGCGCCCTCATTCCCACACTCGGCCGAGGACCCCTTTGACGGGGCCCAGCTCGGAAGAGGTGGCAAGAGCGCTGGCAGTACTCATGGAGGCGATGAGGGCACAAAATATGCCACCACCTCGTGATCGAACTCCTCCGCATACCCGGCATCAGCGGAGGAAGTTAGACCATGATGGTGGGAAGCTTCCTTCCTTCCGGGAACTGGAAGAGTGGGAGGAGGATTCCTGGAAAAATGAAAAACAGAGGAAAAAGAACCCTCAATTTTTAAAAGGATCCTCATCCTCAAGACCAGAAGCGCATAAGAGCAGCAGCTCAGCTTCTCGGCCAGAATCTACTCACCGAGAACCTGAGACTGTTCGCAGAAGCGTCCTTGACCGACTCGGCGGCAAGGAACCGAGCGTGCGCAGTCGCCTCTCGTTCCCTGCAGCCGAGGCCCAGACTTCCCAGCCAGGGACGAAAACCACTCCTACCTCTCTAAGAGGGCGGAGCGCGGTCCCTTCGGCCAGGAACAAGGGCAAGGCCGTAATGCTACCCGCCAGTTCACCATTCGAGAAATGGATACTGGAAGAGCGCGTACCCACGGTTAAAATACCGTCGCACATCACATATGACGGGACCACGGATCCGAAGGATCACGTGGCCTCGTATGAGACTCATATGCATCTTTGCCCCAGATCCGAGGCGACTTGGTGCAAATATTTCCCAACCACTCTCAAGGGGGTCGCGCAAGCGTGGATCTCCAAGGGAGTAAGGCAAGGCTCCGTAACAGGGTGGGATGATCTGTCCTCCAAGTTCATGAGCAAGTTTTCCACGGCAAACCGCCGAGAGAAGACTACCGCAGAGCTCATGAGTCTGCAACAGGGGGAAACCGAAAGCCTCCGAGACTACCTGACCCGTTTCAGTAACGAGTCATCAAGCGTCTCCCAGCTGGACCAGGGGCTAGCCGTTTTCGCAATGCAGAATGGCCTTCAGCCAGGAAAGTTCCTAGACTTCATGGTCATGCATACCCCGCAGACCTTGGAGGAAGCTCTTAATGCTTCGGATAAGTTCATCCGAGCCGAAGAATGGAACAAAGCGAAAACCCAACCTCAATTCAGGGGAGGGAAACAGAGGCAAATACCCTTGTCTGAAGGCCAAGGCCATAAGGCAAAGGGAAAGTCAAAGGCCCCGGAGCAATCTTTGGCCATCGACCCAATGAAGGAAAGATCTGCCTCATACACAGGCAGATACGAGTCCTACACTCCGCTCTCTCTTCCACGCGCCAAAATTTACAGCGTGACGAAGGAGGAGCAGAGTTACCGAAAGCCGAGACCACTCCCAGAGTGGTATCAGCGAAAAAATAAAAATCAGTGGTGCGAGTTCCACGAGTCTTCGGGACACAACACTGAGGAGTGTATCCAACTGAAGGACCAGATAGAGGACATGGTCCGGAAGGGATACTTGAAAAAATATATCGCGGATCACCGCGAGAAAAAAGAATCTGAGAGGTCAGCCAAGGACCCT